GGTAGCCCAGGCTGGCCTCGAACTCACAGAGATCCACCTGGCTCTGCCTCCCGAGTGCTGGGATTAAAGGCGTGTGCCACCACCGCCCGGCTGAGTCATGGTGTTTTATCACAGCACAATATTATAGACTGCATGTTTACATCGAACCATGTCCATTCTGTTTATCCTGAGAATGAATTCTTCAGCTACTACCCTCAGGTGCACATAGACCACAGGCCACGCTAATCTGATCTCAGGTGACAACTAGTCAAACACAGACAGGCAAAAGAAAAGAGGCCACCTCAGAATACCCAGTCCCACCTGAGCTGGTCAAGGCCAGAAGAGTTTTCCCCGCTGTGACCCTCAAAATATGCAGGACAGTAATTACTGATCACTTATAACTCATTAAAGTTTATGGCAGTCTGTTACATGCCAAAAATGAAAGAACAAAAATTATCAGAAATTACCAAAGTCTAATTCCACTACTTATTACAAGTAATAGCTGATATTTGCTAAACTGAATTGTTTTCTCATTTGTTTTTTATTTTGGAGTTTCATAAAACTATTTATGAAATTCTGTATAACATGAGTTGAGGAGGAACCAACTCAGGACTACTTTTTATGAACACTTCAATACCTCGGGTTTCCTAAATCAGTCAAGTTTAATTTCAAACTCTAAGCCTATGTGAACTCAGATCCATTACTACAAACTCAGAGATGAATTTGACTTTTTATGGTTGTGGTTGTTTCTAACCAAGAGCTAACTAACACAGGAGCATGGCTATTTTGGATATTTTGTTATTCGATGTTTTCCCTGAAAGTACAGCCTTTTCTGAGTCCCAGAGTTATCTACCTTAAGGCCAGGAGTAAGTAAAGGATATCTGCCCCTGTAAGCCCACCCACATTTCTCCTGTGTACAAAGGAGGGTCTCCAAACCTCCAATTTCATACTTACCAATGTTGTGTCAACATTAAGGTGAGCTTATTTAGAAAATTAGAATTATAACGTAATGATTGCTGAGGTTTACAAATGAATGTGGAGAACGATTCACTTATTATTGCCCCTTAACTCATGAGATGGCATGCAATGACTACTTAATAACAATTCATTTCTTATTTTCATGCACTGACTACTGAATGACAGTTAACCACAGTCTTGGGCAATGTGGTCCTTACTTTATCCAGGTCATGAGTTCCACTGTATCTGGATCATAGAATTCCTGTAGTTCAGTTAATTCTGTAATTAACCTTGGGAAAAACTAAAACACAAAACAAAATACCCAGAGGTGTAAGTAAAGTTTAAAACTGTTTCAGAATATTCCAAAAGACTAACTTGAAACACCATTGACCTGGCAGAACTGCCAGGTATCTGCCATCGTCATGGATTTATTCATTCTTCTCAACATAAATAATTTTAATTTTATCGTTTACTCACTGCTTAGACTCAGTAACTAATGTTATCACGAAATAATCATCAGTTATATCTTTCATGCATAGACATATTAAAGAATAAAATTCCAAGACAAATACTTCATAGGTTTCTTGGCAATTAGTTTCCTGTTGCATTCAGTTAAGCCAAAAACTTTATTTCATTTCACAGTTAATAAATTGAACTTACCAAAATGCATTTAAATATTAAGACCTTGGGTGGTGGTGGTGCACGCCTTTAATACCAGCACCCGGGAGGCAGAGCCAGGCAGATCTTTGTGAGTTTGAGGCCAGCCTGGTCTACAGAGCGAGATCCAGGACAGGCACCAAAACTACACAGAGAAACCCTGTCTCGAAAAACCAAAAAAACAAAACAAAACAAAACATGTAAAATAAATAAATAAATATTAAGACCTATTTATTACTCAACAATTTTGTCAATTACGATAAGAATTTACAACGGCATTAAAGAAAACTGCATTAAATGGTACTCTAAAATGTTTCAGGCTGATGTGATAGGTTACATGTGTAATCCCAGCACTTGAGATGCTGAGTCAGGGGGAATCACCAAAATTCAAGGCCAGCCTGGGCTATGTAGTGAGACCTTGTCTCAAAAGACAACAAGCAAATAAATACCAAAAAATGTTTTGGGAGCAAAAGTTGGTGGTGCATGTGTTTTAATCTCAGCCCCTGGGAGGCAGAGGCAAGCAGATCTCTGTGAGCTGGAAATCTGCCTTATCTACATAATGAATTCCAAAACAGCCAGGGCTCCATAGTGAAGGTCTACTTCAAAAGGGAAAAAGAGAGAAAGAGAGACAGAGACAGAGAGAAAGAAAAGAAAATTTGTTTTAGCTCTTTTATTAGGTTCCTCCAGTGAGAGAAAAGAAGAAAAGGGAGCAGCAACATTAACAATATCAGCTTTGTGGAAGAGGCAGACAAATCTCTGTGAGTTCGAGGCCACCTGGTCTACAAATCGAGTTTCAGGACAGCCAGGGCTACACAGAGAAATCCTGTCTAGAAAAACCTAAATAAATAAATAAAATTAGCTTTGTTAGTAGAGTGTCTTGATAGAAGCTTCCTATGTACATACATAAATTTATCACTTTATAGGTAAGTACATTTTCATAACATAAAAATTCAGTTTTCTTACCTCTTTCCACAAACTAAGACCTATAATAGTGGGCACAGCCATGCTCAGAATAAGTGCCTAAAATAGTAAAGCAAAAAGGGTTATGGGTAAACATTTTAGAATATATGCTAGAAGTGTTCTCATTGACTCTGACTCTGAATATCCTTACAGCTAAAAATTCAATCAGAGAGACTGACATCCGCATGAATCTGGGTCAGAGTGAGCTGAGTGAAGATGAGTGTGCTTCAAACACATTGAGGTGTTAGTGAAAATATTTGCTATATAAGGAAGACCATCAAAAAGGGAGGGGGAGCATGGTAACACCCGCCTTTAATCCCAGCACTTGGGATCTGCATTCAAGGCCACCTGGTCTACAGAACTAGCTCCAGTCCAACCAGGGATACATGGTGAGACTCTGTCTCAAACAAAACCAAAGTTAACGATGTGTGCTGGAGACATGGCCCAACAGTTAAAGAGTACTTACTGCTCCTGCAGAGGACCAGGGGTCAGTTCCTAGCACCAACATGGTAGATGGCAAGAGACTGGAACACCCTCTCCTAATGTCCCACAGGCTCATGTACACATGTGCACATACATATAAGATAAATAATTTTTCAGGCAATGGTGGAGCATGCCTTTAATCCCAGCACTTGGGAAGCAGAGGCAGGAGGATCTCGGAGGTGGAAGCCAGTCTGGTCAGCAGAGTGAGTTCTAGGACAGCCAGAGAGCTACACAGAGAAACCCTGTCTTAAAAAACCAAAATAAATAAATTTTAAAACATGTTTGTCACAGTCTACTTTTCTACCCATAACTTACTTACTTACTTTTATTTACTTATTTATTTATTTATTTATTTATTTATTTATTTATTCATTTATTTAGGTTTTTCCAGGCAGGGTTTGGGTTTCTCTGTATACCTGGCCTGGAACTCAAAGAGATTCACCTGCCTCCACCTCCTGAGTGCTGGGATTAAAGGTGTAAGTCACTATCGCCTGGCTATACCCAAAACTTGTTATATAATTTATTGAGGCTATTTCAACTGCCTTAGTATTGAGTAGCATTCAAATTTTTATCACATTTATCTATTTAATTGTGTGTGCGCACACGCACACACCCGTCCGTGCATACAGAGCCACTCCCAGGAATCAGTTCTCACCCTCCATCATGTGGGTCCCAGGGATTGAACTCAAATTTATTTTATATAACTGGAAGATAAACAAGTATTAAACACAAAATAACAATGACTCACCAACAATATTGGGTGTACAGTTCTTAATCGAAGCCACTTTAAAAGTGTCATCCAAAGTTCAGGGGAACAGACACCAAATGCTGCTAACATGCACATGTAAGGAGTCCAAATGAATTTCAAGCTGGAAAAAAGTCACATATCAAAATAAATCACATGTCATACACCCTACAACCATCATTATGATTCCTCTTTTCTAAAATATGTTTAACTACCCACAAATATTAATGAAGAATAAAAAACCTTTCCTTCAATTTTTCAGCAACAGATTCGTACTCAATTTGCTTTCCTGTTTGTTTGAGACAAGTCTCATTGTGTAGTCTAGGCTGGCACCGAACTCACAGATCCACATGTCTCTGCCTCCAAGTGCTGGGGTTAAAGGGGTGCGCCTCCATGTGAAGCCCTCTTTTCCTTTCCTTTTTAGAGAGGGTGGTCTCCCTCAGGAGTCCAGGCTGTCTTGGAACTCACTATATAGACCCGGCTGACATCTATTAGACTGAGTCACCTGCCTCAGCCTTTTGAGATTACAGGCATGAACCATTAATGTACACCTAAGAAAAAAGTTTCCTCTTTAAAATTCCTTAACTTCATGTTCTGCCATTAATATATAATCGTTCCAGCAGATTTATAATCATTTAAAAAGTTATAGACTGCAGCCGTCTCCCACTAGACTGCTCCAAAGCTGACTGCACATCTCACAAGAGCCTGGACGACACATGAAACGGTCTGCTCTTCCTGGACTTCCACTGCATTCCAGCCTTCAGGACCCCAGTTTCGGCCCTAAACAGGAAGTAACCATGAAAGAATTCTACACCCCTTTGTCCCTCCCTCTTTTTCTATACTGAACTCTCCAGCCCAGGGGCTGGGCTGCCCTTAAAAATTTTTTTTATTA